TGGATTATTCATGTATCACTTGTGGGAATTAGCCCAGATGGATTATTCATGTATCACTTGAGTTGTGGGAATCAACCCAGATGGAGTATTCATGTATCATTTGTGGGAATCAGCCCAGATGGATACCCAAAAAGAAACTATAATAATGTGGATTGTTCTGTTTGAGATGGTGATGAACAACAATGAAATATTTGTCAATATATGGTATGGTAGCTTCTTCATATATTCTAAAAATACTAATACTATTACTATTACTATTACTATTACTAATACTAATACTAATACTAATATTGGTAATAAATTATAACTAACAATGCAAAAATTACCCAAACCTTTTACCAAACGTCCCTCAGATACCTTCCATCCATCTGTAGTTTCTTCACAAATGCCTCTGCTTCCGATACCTGATTCATCATTATATACTTCTAATTCATGCTTTTTACATACTACTACTACTACTACTTAATCATCATCCAAATATTCTAAGAAATAACAAAATTATAAATACTGCCCTAATCATTCAAACACTTGCATATTTACTCTATAATATATGCATATATCTATATCTATCGATGAATATATAGGATATTTTAACAACTGAATCTCATAAATATTCCACTCACCGGTAAAAAGTGGTAGAGGGAGTTTCAAATACAAACCTTATATCCAAATATTTATGGAAGATGATCATGTTTCATTCATTATAATCGAGATATTTATAAAAAATGGTAGACTGCACTTATTATGATCATAGCTTTAGATTAGGAAAGCATCGAAATATTTTTAAAACCAAATGTTCATTAAGCTAGATGAACATATTAGATTTGTTTGTATGGTCTGTAACATCTATATTGTTTGTATTTGAAACTCCCTCTATATATATATATATATATACTCACACCCTTAATCCCTGCTGAAGAGAGAGAGAGAGAGAGTATCCATGCCTGTTGTTGGACAATCGTAAGCAACGTGCGATGAACATCTCTAGCCATACCCTTAGCATCACCACAAACATAAACATATCCCCCTTGGGAGATCAATTTCCAAATTTCAGCATCCTGCACAAAAACACCACATCAACAGCCTTAAACCAGATATGCTTTACTATTATTATTACTATTATTATTATTATTATTATTATTATTATTATTATTATTATTATTATTATTATTATTATTATCTCTATACTAACTTTTTCCATCATCTTATGTTGGACATATTCCTTCTGTTCACCCTCCCTCGAGAATGCAACTATCAACTCTGATACCACTCCTTCATCCACATAATTATTCAGCTCATGCTCGTATATGAAATCCTTCATTCAAAGAAATGGCGACACAAAATTAGAAATATTCCTAAACAATTCCATTAGCTAAATGACCAACAAAATCTAACCTGTTGCCGATTCCTACACCCGAAGAACAGTAAAGCAGGACCCAGATGAGCACCATCCTCTTTCAGTGCCAATCTTTCCTGTTCAATTTTGCCTATATTAGATTTGATGTGTAACATAAAAGTGGTTGACAAGACATTTAGTCTATATGCAAACCTGTAGGAATCCTCTAAAAGGTGCCAAGCCAGTTCCTGGCCCAACCATAATAATTGGAATTGAAGGATCTTCTGATAACTTGAAATTCGATGACCTGATAAACACCGGAGCCGAGCTACACTCGAGCCCTTTTTCTAAAGGAACTGCATTCTGATGATGATGTTGATATTGATATGAATAAAGCAGTACATGTCCAAGAAAGAATAATACAACTTAAAATGAGTGACCAACTTTTTGAACCATCCTACTTGGTTTCTTACTGCAAACTATATGCATTATTATCGTTAAAATCTGTAAGAAAAAAGGTATAGTTTGGAATACAAAATTATGAGAATATACATGCCCAAAAAGAATCATTGTGCGCATTTTTTTGTCGAAAGTCGAAACCCACTCATTCTAGTGTACAGTAGTTTTTTTCTTCCCCTTTTTTTGCATTTTAGCAAATAATGATTGTTTTTAGCAATGAAAAGGTAAATTTAGAGAGTCGATCACTCAAATTAATCGTTAGTAACTAAATGAAGAAAAGTGATATCTCCACACACATAAGCAAGTATGGTATTGCACCTTCATCCATGTAGAACAAACACCTTTGTGAATTCGGCCTGTGGGACTTGGACCATAAACTAAAGCACATGTCACATGAACCCTAGTTGGAGCAAACCTGCACTAATTGGAAACAGCCAGTCATCCATGATATCCACCTATCTCGAGTGATTCCAACAAATTAGTTTATACATGGCATCAATTATCGCTACTATATATGGTGTGCAAAAATTACCTTGGGGAAGAAGATATGGAATAGTAGCGTGGTTGTAAACGAGGGGCTACTGCAGCGAAAAACACACCAAGTGGAGGCTTGGAGGAGGGAAACTCTGCCATAACCTCTAGAAGGCTTCGTTGCATTCCAACAATGCATTTTGAGTAATCATCCTGCAAAATAACAGCAGCAGGATAAGCATACTCAAAAACACCATTCAATTTTTTTCTGAAAGCAAACTAAATCGAGTGTCACAAAGAACTGGAAAGACAAATCAAGTGACAGAAATTTGATCACCTTGCCCTGAGGAGACGATAAGAACTTCAGCCTTTCAGCTTGACTAGGTTCACTTGCATGAACAGCCAAAGCAACCAAAGCAGCCTGCATCAATTGTAAATATTTAACTAAACCAAAGCACAGAAAACAAACCCAATATTATCCCACTCGAAAGCAGGTCTTGGGGGAGTGAGATGTATGCAAACCTGTCTTCTACCCCAAAGAGTAGAGCGGCTATTTCCGTGAAGACTCCAGCTTACAAAAGTGCGAGCAAAAAAGAAAGAACCAAGGCTACCAAATCGTAAGGAGCAGAAAGAAAAGGAAAAAAAAGATATAGGCCCAATGAAACAAATAAAAACTAAGGAACCACATGCATCCTTCCATCTAATGTCATTCTATCTGTCAACTCCCTAACCCCCGCCCTGTCCCACCCTCAACATCTCTACTTATCCACGCTAGCTACAGATTCTCACACCTAAGTGTATTACCCTTGTCCTGCATGTACAAGAATTCCAATGAGAGTTCATAGTGTAAATATTGAACTCATAAGGTAAATAGAAGAGACCAAGAAAATGCACAATTCTGAGCAGCTTAACTATATCACCTTTCGAGGGGGACTTAGCAGATCTGCATAGCATGCCAACGCAGTGCGAACGCTACAAGGACCAGGAAATGGAGGTGGCAATAAGCCTCCAAGGGGTGTACCGTCCTCATTATCAGTATGGATAGAGAAGAGCAAATCCAAAGGTTGGCCCAACAATGCTGAGGCTTCTTCGACAGTTTCATCACAATTTTCAGCATAAACACCCACGTGGTCGCCGATTTCATATCTGGCAAGAAGAAAGAAGGATCAGATTTGTCCAACTGGCTTATTTTTCAGAAAGGTGTCAGTTTGACTATGAAGTGATCTTTTAGTGCAAGAATCATTGACTACTGATTGTTTTAAAGAAATTGTTAATCTGGCATGATTTTCCCTAGCTTTATCCAACACATTATCCATTTCAGACTGGAACCCCCCCCCCCCAGTTTGCCTGTACACAAGGGAACAACAAGAACAAGTAGCTTACGTTATGCCGGTATCAGATATGTCAAACTCCAGATGAATGCAAGATCGATCAGATGCAGGTTTATGAAGTTCTTTTTGAAGAGCAACATTGACTCTGCATGCAGTCGAAAAATAATAGGTATTAGGCAAAGTAAAGGGAACCATAAATACAACGTTATAACATCATCATCACGCACCTGCATGGATGGTGGATATCATATGAAATATTCCCATTAGCACCATTCAGGTATTTGTATTTATCCTCAGATGATGCATTAGCAGGATCATGAACCACCACTCGATATTCATGTATAACAGCTGTGTATGGAGTAGGCACGGTTTTTGCTTCATCCTCTCTTTGAAGTAGGTGATCTAACTCCGGCCATAACATTTCTCGCCTAAAGCACAAAATTAATTAAATTACGAGTAAATTGCTGAAAGACATAATTCTTTGAAGTCTATAAATGTAGTTAGTTCATTTGGCTACACAGCACTTTGGACGCTGCATACCAAGCAGTGAAGTCATCCTCAATGCACTGATCATCATCTCCAAGACCAATAGAAACGAGGCGCTTTGCACCTGCCACCTCAGAACATTAAATTAAGTTATGCCACTAAGTTAAACACAAGCAATCAATCTCTAACTACAACAATACAGGAAAATAGAAGACAATTTTTCTACTGCTTTTTGTCCTTGGTACCAACTGAAAAATCAACCAAATAACATGTTGTTTGGCAGTTGCTGAATGGTTTGATGCTGAATGGTTAAGTGATCAAAATGCTTAAGAGGCTCTTTGTGACATAGTGCAGCATGAAATATGGTTGTTTCGTAATTGTTCTGAATATAAAGTTTGGATGACAACAAATTACCATTTTAACCCTCTGTATGATTTAGTTCTGAATGAAATATAGTTATGTGATAAATATCTTACTAAAACAATTACTTCGCAAATATAACTACATACTCAATATTACTAGCCCAAAACAACATTTCATATTAATCCAAACAATCATAACATTACATGTTCAAATTCTAGATTAAACAAAAACATAACAATCAAATTCAACATAATAGTTTTTAATCATCTCGTGTATACAAGCTTCAAAAAATGTTTGGATCACACCTTTGTTTTTCCATGTAATTCTACGTCTCTTTTGGTGTGAAGATTCACCAACTAATTCCATACCTAGTCCAAACAAATTCATACCAAAAATGACAACTAGGTGGTCAAATTAAATCTAAAACAAAGTATGACACATAATTGAAAAAAATCAACACATTATGAACCAGAAAAAATCAACATATTCTAGGCCCTTAATATGATATACTTAAAACAAATTCAAAGCCTTATGGTATACTTGCCAAGAGTTTTAGTATGTCCATGACCTTTTTACATGTTTCATGCTCAACAGTTTCATGCTCAAAGCCTACTTTTTTCCTTGTTCTTACATGTTTCATGCTCAACAGTTGTCTGACTCCCACAACCACATAATTATATGGTACACCGTTGAAGAAAAAAGATTCAAATTCATTGATGCCATTCAGTTTAGGTTAATCCACTGCTAATCCACCATAAGTCCATTCATACATCATTTTTAGCTATAATTATTTATATATTGCAAGACCTCTTAATATCTCATCATAGATTGATAGCTCTCATCATATATTCATTTGAATTATGAGTTGCTACAAGAGTTATCATTTTTTGATAGAATATTTATTCCTCTACCCTAATTGTGTGGTTTTCTATTCAATTGAGGGTTTAGCAAAAGTCTGTGGCAATGCTAGGTTGAGCCATTGATTGCTACAGATCTGTCGGATAGTGCAAGTGAATCCAGAAAGGCAGGAATACCTTTGCATCAGTACCAAGATGGTTCACAAGTTGCACAAAATCCGAGTATCCATTTACTTGGTTTGCCTATTAACTTGGTTTTACATGTCAACCCTACGGAAAAGATCAACTCCACTATTCGAACCACAAGTGGTGCAAACCAGATTCATAAATGATGAAAATAACAACAATTCACTGGACCACCTGAGATCGGTACTAAAATCTGAAAATTCATTGATGACATTCAAATAGAACAGAAATCGAACACTATGTTAAGAAATCGAAAAGAAATCGAACACTTCAAACAGAAATTGAACAAAAAATCGAACACTTCAACAGAAATTGAACATGAATCGAACAGAGAAACATAGCAGATTCAATTTGTGAAGGATTTGACTCGTGAGATAGTACCTGAAGAAACATGGCAGATTCGATTCCTGGAGGAGAGAAGCTTGAGAGAAAAAGGCGTAAGAGAAGAGAGCAAACTTGGAAAAATTAGGGCATTGGATGGTATAGGGAGGCCCAACATACAAAATCGCTCAGAGGTCTTTAGATCCATTAAGAGGCAGAGTTTTTTCTTTGCCAAACAAGATTAACCTCTTAGCGATTCAGAGGCTGGCTCTTAATGGAACTATTAAGAGGCAAACAAATAAACAAAAGCAATTCCTCCCATACACTAAATCATAAAAAAACCAATTCTGGATTTGAGGGGCACCAAAGATAAAAGGGGTATCCAGATCTGAACTTCTAATGACATTCAAATTCATCTCAGGAAACGAATACCAACTAGATCGCAATTGTACCAACAAAATTCAGTCAAGCTCCCACAGGTTAACTCATGAAATGGCCGGCACTTGTCTCGATAAATAGAACGAAGTCAAAACGAGACAAGCTCAGGTTCAGCACAAAGTTATTTTCATGTTCATCATATTGCAGCTGAGGAGAAAGAAGTGAACATTTAATTTCACTCACACACTCAATCACATTATTCGTCATAACATGGCATAAATTACTGGATATTACTCCACAAGGACAACTAATAACTGTACACAAATAAACATATACAAAGTTCAGGATGCAAGGAGCCCACTTGCATTGCAAGTCAATAACACTTGACCACCAAGGTTTACGTATTACTTAAAGAAAGATAACCTGCAAAGTTTTGCATATAAATCAGTAGTGTATAGTTATATAATATTATTATCAAGTGTTTTACAGAAAAAGTGTCAGCCATGGATTTGCATATAAACATGTCGCTCAAGATATTTCCATATTACTGAAAAATTTAGAAGGTATAAACGTAAAGTACTAACTCTAGAGGGAGACCTAGTACTCAGAATGACAGTAAATACTGAAGTATCCAACTTTAATAGCCAAGGAGAGTCAGGTATTAGGATTTTATGATTCATGCTACTTCCCCAAAATAGCAAACATCATTGTTAGGACTGTTGAAGTACACTTCTCAGATATGTGTCGATAAGTCCTTTTAGTCATAACCAAAGGGCCTTTGGCCTAGCGGTATGTGAGTCTTTGGCCTCCTAGGAGGTCAGGGGTTCAATCCTCACCGTGTGAGTTTATTTGTTCTATTTGCCGTATATAAAATATCATATACTTCAAAAGAAAAAGTCCTTTTAGTCATAATACCAAGTAGAAGAATCATAAATCGCAGAGATGGACATTAAGATTTTATAATTCATGCTACTTACCCGAAGTAGCAGACATCATTGTTATGACTGTTAATGTACACTTCTCAAAATATGTGTCAATTAGTCCTTTTTAGTCATAATAACAAGTAGAAGCATCATACATGGCAGAAAGATCCGAGCAAGAGGTGGAGCTTAAGAACAAAAGACTCAACACTATATTTCTCATACAAAGCATTGGTGTTCACATATTGGGTCAAGAATGGTCGCTAGATGACAGTAAAGGCTACAAGAGGAAGATCAGGTACCTTGTTCAGTTAGTTGCTCATCTATTACCTTTGCAATCTGTTTAAAGAATTCAGTGAGATAATGACGGAGACAAAACATATAAAACCTGTGATGAAGCGTATCTACCTTGTTAAAATGTTCATACTGCCTGTTACCCAGACCAAAAACACCATATTTAAGATGTTGAAGCCAGACGCCTCGCACATTTTCCTAAAGAACAATAACCATAGCACAATAGGATATCCATGAATAGGAACTGGTTTTTAGTAATTAACAATAAAGCAGCAAATATTAATGGATCCACTTACCTCAGTAAGCCATTTGTAAAATCTTGCAGCATTATCGGTGGGCTCTCCATCTCCATACCTGTGAGGTCACAAGAACATAGTCTCGATGCTTCCAACTTTCAACGAACTACAGACATAAAACGAACCACAGATAAAACGAACCCAAGAATAGTAAGACTTACGTAGCAACCATGAAAAATGCCAGTGTTTCCTTTTTAAGTTTTTCTTCATATCTGTTGTCATCAGCAGCATAATCATCCTAATGAAAATCATGAACACAATTAGACAATTTTTTATTATGTTGGTAACATGGTGTAGTGGCAATTTCCTCATAACCCATACCATGTCAACAACCTTCACCACAGCCTTTTCGTATCTTGCCTTGATTTCTTCTGATAAAGCCTACCATTAAACAACAGTACATGGGTGCGCTAAAGGCAATTAATACAAATCAAACTAAGAGCATGTGCATTGCAACTTTTGTCATATAGCACACATCATATGTATAGCTTTAAACAAATAGCCGAATGTACCTACTAAAGTGGTTGTAGTTGTGTTTGACAGATAGCATGTATGTCAATACTCGGTCACAGATAATGGATGATCACTTATATGCAGGCATGCAGCTAATATCAGCGAAGTCTAATGCAGAGTAGCAAGCTTATCACTTAGGATGCCAATGCCTTTTAACTTGTGGCTTTTAGATTAGGCAATTCCATCTCAGAACTAACTGACTGAGAGTGGTTCCTCCAAAATCTCCACATGTATGCTCTACTTGATCACTGTGGGATGAATATCTCAACATAACCCTTCACATGTAGAATGGATATGTATATGAACCTACTCTTTTAGTTAGGAAAGACAGATGTGGGATTCAAATCCACTTGGTCCATTATCTCTTACAAATAAAGGTTCATATTGAAAACAAATATTTTTCATAACTTTAGGAAAGAGATGCATGCCCTCCAAAAACAGTTTTATCTCTTGTTTTAGGTCATTGATCTCATGGATATCTTTGAGTAAAGTAATTTTTACACGGTATCCAGATACAATCTTCTTAGTTTCAAGGTTCAAAATCACATTTCCAGTATAATGGTAGTGATTCTTGAGATGTAAGTTTTTCATTCAGTACATCAAATAAAGTCCTTTGTATTAGAATATCTTGCAGCAGTCTTCTTCCAGTGAGTTTACAGATGGAACACACTGATCCAACATGATTCAAATGTGGGATTTCCACCATGTTAAAGTCCCAAAAACCTATGTGTACAAGGAAAAAATCTCTCTTTACATTAACGCTGTGAAACAGCATATTGTAGTAAAGTAGCTGTCCTTATAAATAGAAACAGTTTGATCAGTGGCTGACAGTGAGGCAATATAACAATACATAAATACTTTTGTTTCTATATAATGCTATGTAATGTACTTTATCTGTTGTGTTACGGGCGGTCATTTTATTAGAGGTTTATTCCCCTCTTTTTTCTCTTCTATCCTTTCCTGCAGGCCTACATCCCCTACAAAGAGAACAGTGAAACTCGTGTTAAAAAAGCAAAATCTTTTTTCAAGTTTCTAGGACAGAGATGCATGTGTCTCCTATTTACTCTTTTATGTTAAAATCATCAATTAGTGGCTCTTTTTCAATATGCAATTATGGCAGCACTTGACTTTCACTGCTACCATGTTAGATCAATGGGTTCCATCTAAAAATTGACAGAAAGGAAAGTGCTGCTATATTTGCATGTTGAAATATAGCCACTAATTGATGACTTTCACATAACAGAGTCAACTGGGGACACATGCATCTGTGTCCTAGAAGATCCAACATGGTAGCAATAAAATTTCGCACTTCCTTCATGACCCAAAAACTTACATATAAGGGGAAAGATACTTCTTTAACATGAATACTGATTTTAAAGTTCTTTAGAAAGAAGAAGCCTAATGCATGGTGACTAGACATCTTAATTCATTCATGGTCTTGCTAACATCTTAGAAGTGTCAATAGATTTTGCAACATGGTAATATGACCTGTTGTACCGTGTAATGACTAGTTTTACTTACAAATAACTAACTTTAGAAGTGGTATTGGTTTGAGCAACACAGTGACTGCAAGCAACAACGCAGTGCAATGACAAGCATTGTAGACTTGCATTGACAACTGGTTATTTACAGGATATGCAGGACTCCAATCATCCATATTTAACTGAAGCATTGTACATACAAATCTTTGTTTCTTTCAACAAGGTAGATTGACCAGATCATATGTTTTCATCCTAATTTCTCTTTGATCACTATCTCAATTTATTGTGCAGTTAGATTGCGAAGGTAATATTAAGCAACTAACCAAACAAGGTATCATAGTGGAACAAAATTCAAGATGGGTATAGAAGCCAAAGAAGTGATTGTTTGATTTTGTCTATAATAGTGAGCTATAAGAGTGCTTTTCCAAACTTCAATTACATTTGTCCAAATTTGAGGATCATGTGCAGTCAAATTCAATATATAACCTTTGGATTCAGATTGAAAATTCATTGGTTGCTCTAACGGTTTTTCTAAACCTTTGGCATAGTATCTGGCATAAGCTGAAGGATCACGATACTCTGTATAAGGAGCTCTAGGAGGAAAACTGGTGTATGTATGCATATTGTACTCAAATATCATGAGAAACCAAGCGCCCTTGATGAGTGTCGACATTGTAACTCAAACGTCCCAGAACTATGAACTTTTGACCTAATCAATCAGACACTTAATCTTTTGAGCCACTGCCAGTGAAAATTCTGCATATGCAAACCACCCACCGAGAAGACCTCATTAGTGAATGTTACATATCACCCATGTCTAATATTGTGTCCTAACAATGGAAACTATCCGATATTACTCACATAAACCCCCGAAAAGCAACAAATAAAAATTAAGAGTATTCTATCATTACCTTTGCGAATCCTTCAGCCGTGCCAGTTTGAGTACCGAAAAATATAGTCAACTTGGTCTTACCCGATGCAACATCAATCTCATCTTCTTCCTCAGATAGAACTGAAACAGCCTTGGGTATAACTACAGGATTCGACTCGTTGCTCCGATCAGTCGATTTTTTCCACGCTAAATACGAAATCCCCAGTATTAGGGCAACTGAAGTCGTAATTATCACAATCAACCCATCAGAATTAACAGGCACGCCAAGGAATGATTCAATCGAAGACCTCGAAAATTCAGCAAATTTCGAATCCATTTCTCTCTACAAAAAATGAAATTTTCAAAAGCTTAAAGTAATCGCTCACTTCAAGCACTAACCTATGATAAATTAATGAATAAAAAAGTTTGAACGATCAATCGGCAGCAAACGAACTCCCTCTCTCTCTCTCTCTCTCTCTCTCTCTCTCTAAATCTCACTTTTTTCAATCTAGATATCTCACTGGAACCGTCGAAGAGGAGGTGGTGGTGGTGTCGGCGATTGGTGAGATAAGCGGTGCAGCAGCGACGGTGGTGTCCTGGAGTTTACCTATTTGACCACCAATGTCAACTGCTGAGGTGATTGTGGGCCCCTTTTTGGTCTTCCTGTTGAATATCAGAAATAAAAATTAAAATACATGTTTGTCCATGGACATGAGGGGTTTTATGACAAATTTATTTATACTAGTTTACTTTATAAAGCAAATCCACAGAAATCTTAAAAACAACTAACATAGCTTAAAGTACTGCATCAATTTTGAAAAATCTCTTCGTTACAATATGAGAAGCCTATTTTACAACTTCTCAATGCTTTAGAAATCAGACTCCCAACGATGTTTCATCATCCTGGTTTGGTTTACTTCTCCAATGCCACTTTTTCTTTTTCTTTTTCTTTTTTGGGAAAGGGGAATACATACATAGTAGGAGTATGTCCATCAGATATTGTAAATAAAACCAACATTTGTAAATAAAGCCCAATACATACATAGCATGCTCTAACAATCTCATGGTATCACAATCAACCCAACTCTTCATCTTAAAATTCAGACCATTCCTCTGAAACCCCAAATCGTGAATAGTAGGAGTATGTCCATCAGATTGAAGTTCGACCCATAAGAGGATGACCTAGGTAGTTGCAAGTTCCACCCAATCTTCCTCCTCCTTCCAAGTTCCAAGTAAGATTGCGACATTGAAGCATAACGCAATTCTCAACTCATATCTCATCAAATCAACCTCATCAAGTCGATACCAGCAGGCAATGTGTATGTTTCGTGTTCTCCACAGTGATCGATCAACACATAATGCAACTTTCCGTTCCATGGGAACAAATACAAAGAACACAGATTAGGGCACAGATTGTACTGCTTGTTCTTCTTTAAACGTATATCGACCAAGATCAAATTGCTCCCACCGTTGAATCCGATTGTTGATATCCCGATTGAAATTGCAGTTGAAACCCTAGCTTTCAACTCCATACCCAACTCAGTTGAAATTGTTGATATCCCGATTGTTGACCAGCTGTTTGGAGGATTGTCAATTGGTAACAGGAGACAGACGAGAAATCAGTCTTTAATCCTCCACCAAATTCTTTTGTTGTTAATTGGAATCCTTGTATTTGGAATCCAAACATCATCTTTCCTCAAACTCCAATGCTGAAAAAGATCCATATTTATATGGAATCTGTTTTCATTGCAGGGGCTATATCGTTGAGCTTTACAATTATCGTCAACAGTAATTAAAAGAACTCTTGGTGATGCAGCATAGGAATAGTTGGTTAGCTGCATCAATTGATTAAACAAAAATATACACCAAATCCCAGATTGCCAAATGGATTCCAATTGAACACAATAATTGCTTTCTTTGCAAGAGTCATAGCTTTGGACTCTCCTGTTCCAATCTAATTCATCCAGTTGAACATCCAAAGCACATTTAGGCCAGTATATTTCCCTCATACTTGAAATCCAAATCATGCAGGAATCAATTTGGCCAACAGTCATTGTTGTGCCAATGACTCCAAGACTGATTAAAACAGTTGTGGACCAGTGACTAAACTTCCACAAAAATTGTAGCTTTCTCCTACTAACTTTGCTGTCATCTACTAATATAGTGACCACCAGTTTCTTTAAATGAGGCACAACACTCAAACCATCCTTATAACCCCCACACAGCAAATTAGCACAGAATCTCAGATTGGGCATGAGATAGGACTTAAACCAAGTAAGCCCAAATTGTATAGGAGTCCATCTGAAATCATTTGATTTAGGAGAAGAACCATACTGCATAAAAAAGATAGACCAAACACAAGTGTGAGGTCTAACCAGAGGTTTTATCATAGAAAGGTAGTTCAAGCGAAGAATAGAAAACAGAATGAACAGCAGGCCTATGACAGAAAAAGACAGGAACAAACTTATGGTAGCAAATAAGATCTGAAAAAGAAGTCCCCATAATGGTAACATAAACAGCCGGATCAAAGATCAACAGCCATTGTATCAAAGAGTATGGGACAAAGGCAATCGTCATGGTAGGATCAAAGATCAACCACCAACTAGATGCCCAAGACCAAAGGGGGGGAGGAGAACAAAATGTGATAAAAGTCAAGATAGGGAAAGATCAAAAAGCACCACCAGCTCCATATTATCATAAGAGCAAAGGCCAGACATATATATGCAAGGGTAGCATACACATCAACAAAGACCCAAAATGGATCAGGAGACGGACAAAACTCAACAAAACACCAACAGCCACACATGTATAATTGAAGATATAACCAGCAATAATCATAATCCTCAAACCCAAAGATCCAGCTTCCAATAAAATCCTTCCTTATCACTTCAAAGAAAGTAATGCAACTACCATTAAGGCTAAGGATCAAAGAGAAGGTATTACTAAAATTCACTAACGATCCTCTGTCTTCAAATACATAACTCCACACTCCTCCTAAACCAACCAAACCTCTGTTTGTCCCAATTAATCACCAAATCAGATAAAATCTTGTAAGAAAATGATGAACAATTAGAGAGAAATTAACCCCAATGATTTGTATTCAAATCTTCAATGATTAGCACTAATGACAAATCTATCCTAATTACAAAGCAAACTTACTATTTATACTAGAAAGTAATAAAGGCTAAGCTATTACAACATTAGGAGAAACTTGCTTGAATACAATATTTAAAGCACAGCTTTGAACCCAACATTTTTCCCCCTTTGGATTCAAGCTTGAGACATTGTAAATCTTGATCGTAGAAAGACCAAATTTGTCTCACACCTCCTTAATGCATTCCGATATTGCAGTTTTTCATCCAAGAGTTCTAAAGCACTGATCAGCAGGAACCTTTCTCTTGGACTCATTCTTTTATGCTCTGTCACTTTTATCATCGGTAGCTTTGATTCTTTCTAAAGCTCTGCGCACTATCTTGATTGTCCCATCACTGTACTTATTCAGCTCGCTGAATCTCATAAACCTCTTGGCTCTATCAGCTCCATCATAAATCACACCAAACTCCGGATCTTCAAGTATTAGAAAAAGAGGATAGCCTTCAATGTCATCAATGTCTTGATTCGGTCTCTTCAGGTTGACAATCTTCTGATTGCTCTCGAAGCCCATTTGAACATCAATAACCGAAGATAACTTGACGTGACTCTTTAGATATCTCTTTATCGCTACTAGGCCAAGAACCACTCCTTTTTTAACTGTCAGATCACGAATTTCATGATAAAGATGTTCCAAGTCTTCAAGATAGAGGTTCGGGAAATCAGCTTCGCTAAATGTCCAAATCTGACCATCTTGTCTCGTTACGGTGAATACTAGATACCAGACTCTTACGAGTTTATTGGCATCAATATTTTTGATTGAAACAATTCGGTGCTTGGTTCATACTTGACTTATAAGTTGGCGCTTTGCTTTCAAGAAGTGTTTGTACTCGGTGCTGTATTCACGTGTTTTCTTGTGAATCCAGAGAATTTATCACTGCTTAAGGCTTTCCAATGACGTGTGAAGACAACGAAGTAGATGTCCTCGAGGTATGGTTCTCTGATCCACGCTCAGTCAAACCCTGGAACATTTGCGCGTATAGCAAACGGTACATAATTTTTGGTAAATATCTCTGTAGGATCAAATACCGCCCTGGTGGTATAGAAGCGCCTTGAGACACTACGGTAGGAAGTTCATATGTAGATTGATGTTCAGTCTGGAACGGGAAGATTGGATCATCTTCATTAATATCAACTTCAAAGTCAAAGTAGATGTCTCCTGAATCATCAATGTTTTCAATGTCAGCGCCATAATCTTGAACTCCTCCTAGTTCTCTTGAGAATACTACATTAAAACCAACATTAGCAGATAGATCCAAAAGCATCCTTGTTTCTACAGTGGAGACCACCGGCTTTTCAACCATTGGCTCGATCACTGGATCTGCCGCTACAGCTATCACCTGTTCAGCTGTTTCCTGGCCTGATGTCCGTTCACTAGTACCAACTGGAACCGGAATTTCTTCTTTAACGTCTTCAGGCTCTGACTCTCCAGCAACACCCTCAACACCCATAGATGACTCAGCCAGCCTTTGTCTTTTCATCTCCTCCTCATGGTGATCGGGATCGTCCTGATCGTCATGTCTTCGTTTCAAAGTGGTGGCCTGAGCTCGGCAAGTACTCTCTAATGTTGATACTCGTTCGGAGAGGGCATCAATGGAATTTTGCATGTGAGTGAGTGCTTTGCTGTTGGAAGCGATTGTAGAACTAAGCTTGGATAAGTTAGTAGCTACAACGCTCTGGAAAGCAAGGAACTCTGAGGCCTTCACAGTCGGATTCTCTTCCACTTGTTGCCTTAAAAGACCAACGAGATCTGCATCCGCTGCGTCAGGATTTTGACTTGTAATCAGCTTGGCATATAGTAGAGATTTCAGCTCGTCCACCGATTGATCTTGCTCCCTCAGAGGTTCAGGGGGGGCGGTGGTGACGGTGCAGACACTTGTTCTTCAGGCATTGGTTCTTTACCCTTCAACATCCTTTTCAAACTTAGAATTTGTTCTGTCATAATATCCTAGACAGCCTTTAGGGCGCCATCCAAATACTCCCGTGACACAAAGTCAGGTAATGTAACACTTGGATCACTTAGATTACTAGTTGTAACAACAGTTGAAACAACTGTTGTGTAACACTTGGATCACTTAGACTACCAGTTGTAACAACAGTTGAAACAACTGTTGTGCCTACGTTCAGTGTTGGCATGATATTAGCACTGGTAGGATTTCCGACCTGTCCTCGTGGAAAGTCAAAAGACTCCACTCCGGTCGTTCTGGCAAGTTTACAAAGAACTGCATAGACTCAAGTGTACCTATGTGTATCGGCTCTAGACTCGAGGTGCACTAAATCGAAGTCGTAGGTTGGGGCAGAGGCCTACTTGTTTCAATATCCACGTTCTCCAAATGAAAA